TGTTCACTTTTTTAGGTATAATCTGTATGAAAATTTCCACTAGTTGTGGATTGAGAAGAGAAGTACAGGAGTATCAACATGGAGTCTTTTAGTTTGTGGTATTACATTAGTAACGTCAGGTATTTTCAGATTTTCTGTTGTTGATGCAACTGCTGAGGCCACATATGAGAATTGAAACTAAAAATACATTCAGATCATTTAAATCAGGTGATACTACTCACTGATTTAACATGTAATAGAAATAAGATAACATGTAAACTGCATTTTCTGATTTGTCCAACTTATGGATGTTCTCTTCCAGGAAGAATTAACAAAGCAAAGCAAGGTACTGAATCTCGTGCAGGATTTTTATCACAAAGAAAGACACTGATTGTTTTGTTGTTTTACTGATAACTATCATAGAGAATGACATGGTTTGAGGCCGTTTTGTGCGAGAGCTTTGTTATTTTTACTGCATCACACCAGACCCTGGACATGAAGGCCTAATCAGCCAGAGATCTCACACTTCTTTGGTTACTGTCAGTTTGAGTCATACAGCTTCTCGTCCATGAGATGCAGGAAGGTGCGGGAGCCTCGTGGCGCTGGCGGTAATATTTAGATTTAAGCTTGTTTGATTTTAGGCAGAAATAAACCAAATGTGACCTCTTTTAGTTTCCAAATAAGGTTAAATGAAATATTTTTATTTGAAATAAAGATTAAACTACACACTTTAATGAGACATTCTGCTTGCATACCAAAACAATTCATATAAGCTCCGATAAGGTCACCCATTGCTGGCTGGTGTGAGATCCTGTCATCGACATATTAACTGATAAGCGGACTGACTGACCCACAGACTCCTCATCTCCTGTTTTTAACTGCCTTTCAGTTCTCTGCATGGGGAAGAAGTAGATCTACATAGATTTTCTGGGCCAACTCAACGGTTTTGTCTTGGACTATGAACAGTGTCCTAGAAAGGCTGTTAAACCAATGTTTTCATTTACATTTTCCTGGTCAAAGGAAAAATCTGCCTTCGTGGCACTAATATTATTATGGCATAGGATATTTAGCCTTAGTACTGCCCAGTTTGGAAGTTGTGTAACTTGTGCATACAGTGCTGAATACACAACATCCCTGGAATTTAGGATCACATTGCTGGTTTTACCACCTTTACTTGAAATAACCATTTACTGACATTATCACAAACATCCTCTTTCTTCGTGAAATTAAGCCACTGTATGGTTCGTTTCTTCATTTCCCTCATGACGATTCCTCAATTCCTCATTGGAAGTTTTCTGCTACGTAGCAGTAAATGTTTGATGTCTTTGTTTGTACAGCACTCAGGAAATACTACTTATTGAATACTACTCCTAAAAAAGTCAACGTGGTGTCTTCTACAAAGAGCTTACAAATACCTCTTGGTTGTTTGGATGAGAGTAGGATTGCTATTCATGATTTTACTTCAAAGAATAATTATTAATTTTCTCTACATGCACATAAGTTACAGAGCACATCAGTAAGTCTTTAAAATGCTTCAGACTAAAGTCAACGCACCCAAACACTCTCCATCTAAAAGAATATTAAACAAACAACCTTCCATGTCTTTTATTGCTGTAGTTATGTGTTGGGTGTTGGCTCAGCTCAAGTGCTCCTGGATATCCCTCACCTTTCAGCCTGTTAGTGCTTGTTTGATAGACACAACCACAGCTATGCAGGGCATGTAGCTGATATTTTGAGGCGTTAAACTCTGCTCTGTGAGCGATCGTAAACCAGACTCTTCCCCGGCATCTCTGCGAGAAGAGTAAAAGTAACTTTGGTGAAGCATTTTTCAGTCCTTAATGAGATCTGGAGCACTGGGAGCAGAGATGAGGCAATAATCATTATGACTATATATGTACCTCAATAAAAAACATCATAGCATGGTGAAACTTTTTATGATTGTAATTATAGCAGGAACAACTATGAGCAAAGGCCTGGGCTGAATTTCATGCCAGTAAATATGCATTTATTAAGAGTAGAGCAACGCCCCCTGTTAAAGTAGCTACATTTTAATACCATTTGAAAATGATCTTACTCTCGCATTCAGAGATAGTTCTGACAAAGATAATCATACATGTTGACACATGTCTTCTTTGAGAGCGTTTCTCCTTCATGCCTGAGCCGAGGAGCTGATTTTAAAGTGTGCAACTCAAAGTGTAATTACCTGTTCTGCAGTACGACTTGAATTTCTCCCTGTGTATGTTGTTGCTGTCTGTCGCACATAAACAAGTCAAAGTGTCTCGATGAGTCCTGCTTGTGGTTTGTGCCGGAATAGAGACAGTTTTAGAGTCTCAGAGCCTTGTTTATAGATGACATAACTTCAGCTTCATGCACAGATGGTGTTCCTATCAGTCACATGTAGAATACAACATTATGCCAGGTCCAATTTCAGTTGTGCTCCATGGTAAATTGACCAGAAATCACTTCCCCCCCCCCCCTGTTTTTTTTCTCTGTACTTTCAATGCAGCCTCACCCTTATGTGGCCTCTGTGATAGATAGCTGAATGAAACTGGATCTGTGAAAAAAGGACGAGCACTCTGGGAGATGCACAGCCTGCATGCCTTTCGCTCAACGGGGCACTCATTGGGACATTTCCTCAGTGGGGCTTTTTGAAAAGGGGCTTGCGCTGCAGTTCCGGCTAAGGGCAGTACAGTAGGTCAACAGCCGATAGAGTTACAACCTCTCCTTTGTGGAGGTGTTGAACAAATTAGACCTCACAACTGTTTACCCAGTCAAACAGGGACAGCTGCATCTCCCCACCCTCCAAAACCTGCCACTGACTGTTGTTCCTTAGGAGAGCCATCTGTGAGGAATAAGCCTGCACGGTGATCAAATGATTGTTCCACAGTTTTACCTCTGCCACTGCTGGGGGTGATATGAATGGCCCCTTAACTGAATCAACATGAGCTCTGTGCATTATGTGACCCAGCTGCCATTTTGGCCTGTTGTTCTAATGAGAGCTGTGTAATGTTAGATGGTCCAAAATGACTCATTTTCTGTCAGTCAGTGGGAACAACCGGTTTAAAGACTAGAGCATTAACCTAAATGCTATAACAGTTGCAGCTGATGCATTTGTTGTGTTTTACATCCCAAGATAAACTGATTTATTTGAGCTCCACCCATTACAGGAAGATTAATTGTACTACTAACAGTAATGAGGCAGAAAATATGCAGATATCCCCGTACAATCTCTTTGGATGCTGTCATAGTTATTCAAGATGCTACTGGACTTGAATGGATAAGCCCATTAGAATGAGCTGCGTTTAACAAACTGTGGATATGAAGTGAACTCTTAGTGATTCGACTGCCACTCACTATTATGTTCATTATCTATTAACCTTCTGTTTTCAATTCATGGTTCTGTCTGAAAAACAAAACAAAATGTGCCTGTTAAAATTCCCCATAATCCAACATGATCTCTCTTTGTTAGCTTGTTTTAAAGGACCAACAATCCAAAACCCAAAACATTCATTTTACGATTACATACGACAAAGTGTACAGTCTTAATATTTGAGACGCTAGCACCAGCTGATCTTAGGCATTTTACTCAAGTGCTGATAATAACAATTATCAACATACTGTAGTTGCAGATTCATTTCTTCATGACAAATAAAGCAAATACACATTGCAGCTCTGGATTCTGTTAGAGGATCACTATTGAATTAAACCATTGTTCCATGAGGGTCTTAGCAATGCACTGTTTACTTTGAGACTGAGTAAAAATACCATGGCCTGAATATGGATAAAACACATTCTAGAAAGACAATATTTTCCATATCATGAGAAAATATACCCTAACGTCTCTTCAGGGCCGCTCCATGTTTACTGTATTTTGTCAGTCGCGTCTCTGCAGCACAAAGAGAATCATCAGTGTTTGAGGCAGGATTGATCTCATCAGCCTCCCCACCACCCTAGAGTCTTTAAACGTCCTTATCCTTCATGTTCTTCATAGCAAGTGGAGAAGAGAGAGCCACGGATGTGAGTTTGAATTATTTACCTACATGCAGTGAGCTCTCACAAGACTGAAAGTGCTACGATTTCCAGAAAATTGTCTTGACAGTTTTTTTCTGGTACTGGTTCATCCTCACATGGAACAACATCATCACCCGGTTGTTTACAGCTGCGGAGAAGCAAAGCGGTTCAATCGAGACACTGCACTGATGCTCAGATTTTCCTGCCACTCATTGCAAACAATCACTTGTATTTCTTACAAAGACAGATTTGACACTATTCACATAAAACAAAAATCACATTCAGGCTTCTAAATGGTCGTTAATCTGAGAAACAAAGATCGACCTGAATCCTGAAATTGAAGTTAGTAGCTTTAATTTATTGCGGTTCAGATAAGATTGCTTTATATCCATGTTTATCTGAAGGATGTATAAAATTCAGTGCAGCTCAGACTTGACCAGGAATGCTGTATTTATTTCCAAAGAGATATAAAACATGATAACCTTTGGCCTATATTGTGTAAACAAATCCAACAAGGCTTTTCTCCTGAGACAGAAACTGGTTCATTCAATGCTTTTAAGATCCTCTGTTAATGCAAGATTACTGCTGTGCTCTAGAGTTGAAAAGACACGGCTCCATAAACCATGTGGGGGTGTGTAAGACCAGCGACTCCTTATTTCCTTATTTATCAGCAGTGACACTATCAGTGGTGCCTTGTGCAAAGCGAGTCAGTCATTCAGAGCAGTGGGGCCACCTTGGCTGTCAAAGCAGGATTTAGGCTACATTTCCCATGGTTGCCATGACGACTGTGGGAAGTGATTATGAAGAGAGGGCTTCGGAGCAGGGCTGTCACACCAATGGGTATTACCATAGTGGTTTGCACAGTGATCATTTGAGAATTACTGGCTCATGAACGATCTTCTTATGTCTTCTACCTAATGAAATGTAAAAATTCTGTTGTGGCAAAACTGTTTTGTTTCTGTGTCAGAATTATTAGACTTCTCTAACAATTTTCTCTTATGTCTCTCTAGGGAATATGTGTTTAAATGGGACAGCAACGAGCAGACCGTGAGGATTCTCTAACCCTTGCCCCGGAGTCCCAACCGTCTGAGAGGGTGTCGGACCTCACTGAGGAAATCCTGGGCCGTTGGCACTAAAATGTCCCTAAGTGGTGGCACTGCAGGCGGGAAAGGTGTGGACTCTAATGCGGTGGACACTTACGACAGCGGGGATGAGTGGGATATAGGTGTTGGAAATCTGATTATTGACCTTGACGCTGACTTAGAGAAAGACAAACTTGAGATGTCTGGTACCAAGGACGGAATGGCGGCACCACCCAGTGCAGTGGCAGCGTTGCCTGACAACATCAGGTTTGTTAGTCCAGTGTCTGGCTCTCAAGGCAAGGAAAGCAAATCCAAATACAAGCGCAGTAAGAACTCTAAAGACAATAGTAACAAAGCTTCAGCTGGAGACGGGGGTAAAAAAGAAACTGCAGGACGGACTCAGGGGGAGCCGACAGTTACAGCAGCGAATGCAGGAGCTGCTGGCGGTAATTCCACCTCTGGGAGGAACATGGAAAAAGGGGGCAAAGCCTCCCGAGGTGTTCTGAGTGGTAAAAAAGATAAAGAAGGGGCTGGTGGGAAAAGTAAGAAGGACAAAACAGATGGAGCACCAGTCGTAGCAATAGCTGCTGCAGAGAAGGATGTTGTGTCTCAAGCCCAAGTTGCTTTGGGGAATAGTCGTAATACGTCCTTTGAGAACACACAATCAACAGACTTGGCTGAAGCCAATCAAATGGGGAATATTGCACTTGAACAAGTTGGGATAGTACCAGCATTGACCGCAAAAACTGAACCGGAGGAGGTGGAAAATGGTAATAGTGAATGCAAGATGTTAAAGAAGGTGAAAAACGAAAAGGTAAGCTTTTCTTTTTACTCTATTTTCATGCTGTATGGGATTGTTTAATTTGTTTTTCCCAGAGATTAGTCTTGTATTATTTTTGTCTTTGTAGTATTATCAGGCTTTATTGTGCAGCTGTGAATTGGGCGACTTATGTTGCAACACAACCTCAATGTTTGTTTGTTGTCAATATTTTCTTAAGTCATTTGCAGCGTTAAATACATTGCATCAAAAAAGTAAATTGTTTTGCCAATTGGTCTCTTAGAAATAGAGACATTATTGTTCTGCTTGTAAAATCTAAATGAAGCTTTGCCAGCCAGCCTGCAGGTGTTTTGCAGGTTTTCTCCTGATTGCTGTTTAATTTCAGTTGTGCCCTGAGCTCATATATTCAAGACAGAAAAACTCACCTCAGTTATCAGTCCTTACAGAGGCCAGCAGCTCTGGATTTGCATTTCTGTGTGAAAGGTCTCTTTAAACCAATACGTCTCATCACTTTTAAATATTGTTGTGTGAACAGAAGTAAACATCGCAGGGTTCTTGAAGTTGTGCATTGTGGTAGGCTCTCCCAACAGGCTTAGAGATGTTCTTCTTTCCCCGAAGCTGCCTCACATGTGATGCATACAAATATTTGCTGTTGTTTTCTCTTTTATTACTGCTCAATGAAAAAGGGCACCCTTGACGAATGTGTTGCCCAGTCCGTCTTCAGGAAATAACCCACTCAGTGGTGTTTTTTTTCCTCTTTCATCTGTTTTGTTGTAAAATTGTTCCAGAAGTGCCTTCATATTTAAAAAAAAAAATCTTACGCTCATCTATGGTGAAACTACTACCAGCCAACATCTGTTGTAATTAGCCATGGGTGTTAATGTGCTGTGCATGATCCAGCAAAGAGTCAGACTAGAAGATAATAGATAATGTCAGTCTTATACATCACATTATGCCTGTGAAGTTAAGTAAATGTCACATGGCGTTCCACTTTTTTTTTTTTTCTTCTCACAATTTCAACACTGACATTGTTGCACAAGAACAATATAAAGATCCGTGTAGCTGTTCACCCACACTTATCTTGTTCACTCAGAGTTGATCTATCGCTGTGTCTATTGTATGCCTCATAGCAGCCTTTTCATGCTCTCACAGTATAAAAGACAGCCGAGCAGGGAGGTGCTGAGGACTGTTTTTGTCTGTCATCGTGTTCCATTCTTAATCCCACAAGCCCCAGTAATGCCTGGTGGAGCAGTATGTGGGGGAGGGAGCTGGTGCAAAGAACGCCTTCGTCGGTTTTCCTGCTGCTCTGAAAGTGGCATGGGGGATGGGCTGTGAGGAAGCCTGCTTGGTTCCTTAAATCCAGGACACCCAGTCATGAACACTAGCTGTAGAGTCTCCTCGGAGCGACTGCTGTGAAAGGAAATTTCATGAAAGTCTTTGTAATCGCTATGTATTTAGAATGAAAAGGCTTTTGAGGGAGATCCACGTGAATCGGTTGACAGCCGTGAATAAAGGAGAGAGAGGTCACAGCTGCTTTCAAGCAACTAACCTGTGAAATGTATCTTTGATGGAGGAAAAAGGACGTGATTATTTTGCATCACACAACAATTTTGACTTGAAGAACAGTTTAACAGTTAATGGATCTGTTCAAACTGCATAACAACGATATGTTTATATATATGAGTGTGTGTGTGCCTGTGTTTCTGTACATATATATATGATTGTGTGTGTATAAAATAAGACAATAACCAGTCATACACTTTAAAATTACAACAGCATTGAAACAGGTTTATTCTATTCTAATAATTTTTCCTTTTCAGCTAAAATTTCAGCCTCTCAGTATTTTGTGAAACGGAACAAGGCATTTGAAGGTTTCAGATCAAGATTTTCAGCCAAGTTTTTTTTTAATATCACAGATTAAATAATTAATAATCAGCACACAAAATAGTTTTGCACAATCTGCAGTTCCAACTTTGACCACTATGCAAGACTCGGAGCACAGCGCTAACACTAACAGCTTGCATTATAATTGCAGTGTCTTGCACACAATTTTGTGTTTCACGTGCTGAAACCGTGTTGCCTCTGTGACAGAAATTCTCACATTAACACCAACCCCCATTGAGCATTTTACATGACTGTTTAATCACAGATGTGGCAAAAGAATCCCATTCCCTCAATAGTCATTAGCCACAGTAGCTTGGTTTTAGTGTAAGGCTGCAAGTAGTGATTATTTTCAATATTGATGAATGAGCCAGTTTTTAAGCCAGTTGATTGTAATACATGGCCAGAAGATTTAAATTTGCACAATTGAGACGTTATAAACTGGAAATGTTTGGCATATTTACTGATTCATTTGCTGTAGATTGACTAAATGTTGCAGTTCTACTCCATTTACTCCAATTACTTGTAAAAACTGTGAATGTACAAAAATGTAAACTGCTCTTTAATTTCTTTCCGTTTTTCCAGAATGTGAGAAAATTATATCCAGTATTATGGAACACGATTCTAAATCAGTATCTTTTAAATACTTAAATGAAAGAATACAACAAGAATAGCGTTGTTTTTGAATGACAGCCTCGTTGTAACTTGTTCATTTAAAAGCACTAGCTGTCCCTTGTCTAAGTGTAATCCAGGCATTAATCAGTATGTGTCTCAGTTGCAGTCTTGTTCTCCATGGTAGAGGTGTAATAGCGTGGCTACATTGTCGGTGTCCTAAGTTAAAGCTCCCCAAAGAATTGGCTCTCAGATGCTGAATAAATCATCTGTACTTCCTTGGTACAAGTGCTAACCACCTCTGAGTGTGTCTCACTCTCCCACCTCTCATTATACAAATCTAGAGGAGTAAGGCATTCATCAGCTGCCTCAGTGTGCCACTGGCCTTGATAAATGGAGCAGCTCTCATGGAAAATTACATTGGCAATGTTACTTTGAAAAGGGGGAGAGAGAGAGGGAGAGAAAGAAAAGGCTGCACTTGAATGAAAGAGCACAGCCACCGCTCTGCATCGCTGCTGATGTCCAGCTCGGGGAGAGCAGGGATCTCATGAGAGCAAGCTTGAGTTCTTTCTCCTCGCCTTTGCCTGTGCCTGACTGACTGTTGCTATTGTGTTACAGCTCATTCCTTTTAAGTAGTGCCAGCTTTTAAAGGCTCTGGAATAGAAGAGAGACTGACTTATTTTAAGAAGAGGAGCAAATTGCATCAAGAAGCTCACTACAAAGTGGGGCTGTTAGCTAACCTGTCCATGCTAATTCTTTAGAGCTAAGCTGAGGTGTTGCTTTATTAACAGAATATGCAGCAGAATAAAACATCTCTATTTCTTTTAGTTGATAAAAGTTTACTGATTGACCGTTAAAAGACTTGTGTGTTAGTTAGTTTGAAAATGAAGGTTTTGACAGGAGCCAGGATTTGAGCTTCTTTCTCTCGCTCTTTTTTTTCTTTTTTTCTTTCAAAATATTTTTAATTCTCATATGTGTAACAGACCATGCCGTGCCATGCTTGCCTTCCAGGAGCTATAAACATGTTTGATTTGCCATGTGGTGGTATGATGCAATTTACAAAGTAGTTCTTTTTGATCATATATATATCACATAAAGGGAGGTATTTTATCTGGATATGATTTTGCATCTTACCAACATGGTTGAACTCCATATGAGGAAAGAACATAAAACAAATTCAACACTATACGTAAAGTGTATGCAAAGTCACATAAAATAACCATATTCGTGTTCAGAGATCACTATAGGCTTTGTTATCCACAATCCCTGGTTTATCCCTGTTGTGATCTATGCATTGTTACCTCTACTCATTTGAAGCACTCAGCCTCAGGGAGTCCCTCACTACTACAGGAGGAAAACATTTGACACTAATTGTTTTCCATGTCTGCCATCAGCCACTGCCTCCACAGTGATGTGAGAGGTTTTGAGCTTGTAGGCAAAATAAAGCACGACAATAGAAAAAGAATAGAAAAGTCAAATCAAGGTAGTTGACGATTAACCTTCTGATAAAAACGATATAAGATGTAGTTATATTAAAATTAGTTGGATTTTTATTTATGTGTTCATGAAATGTGAAGGTCCCATGTCCCAGGGTTACTGCATTTTTCAGTAGACTGACACGCATGCCGTGCATACCACACATTTTCAAGGTTTACAGTGCCCTATCCCTCACTGACATGCCAGTGCAAATAACACAGTAATAAGCACGCAGTAGCTGCTGTGTACGTAGAGCACAGTCCAGTATTTCCTGCATCTACACTTAAAAAACGATTTTCAGATTAATGTGGGGAGTAATTAACCTTAAAGATTCATGTCAGAATTGTCATAGCAGAAACCACCATAACACCAGAGTCCTCAGCCCATAGAGCAGACCGCAGCTTCAGAAATTGAATTGGAAGAAGAATGCCTCGGCCCACTAACTTTATAGTCTTGTTACAGAGGAAAATCATTGTTGAGAGGCACCTCAGGATTTTTTTTTGGGGGGGGGGGGGGGGTTATTTCATGCTCCTCAGTCATAAACTCTGCTTGTAGGCACATCGACCAAAGTGGACGTTTAGGTTGTTTTATGTCCCATTTCTCTGAATCATGGAGGCATCGTGGGGGCTCAGTATATTTCCCAAAAAGATAGCAGATCATTGATTTATTACTTACTTAAGGTTTTTCATATTGACCAGGCACTGATGTGCATTATTTCCAGATGGCAGATCATTCACTTGTCTGAAGACGGTAAATACGTTTTCTGTAACTTCTCAGAAGGAGATAATGTCTTCTGAGGTTTTACGTGTGTACCTTTCAAAGGGAATCATCACATTTGAAAGGCTCAAACAACAGAACATTGACATTTAATACAGACACAAGAAACCCTTTTTTAATCGTTCTCGTTACAACGAATCCAAAAGATGAGCTTCAGAACGGAAAGTGTATAAAACCCACAGCACAATGCAACTTGATAATAGTCAATTTTAATATCAGTATAATTTTTATCAAAACTAGATTTCACGTTATGTTTTAAAACAAAAAATCATAATCAAACAGACAAGTTG